ATCTTCCTAATGCTGTGACCCTTTAATATAGTTCCTCATGTTGTAGTGACCCCCTAACCATAAAATTATTTTTGTTGCTACTTCATAACTGTAATTTTGCTACTGTTATGAATCATAATGTAAATCTCTGTGTTTTCTGATGGTCTTAGGTAACCCCTGACAGTGGTTCTCAACTTATGAGTCGCGACCCCTTTCACAGGGCTGCCTAAGACATTCAGAAAACACAGATATTTACATTATAATTCATAACAGTAGGGAAATTACAGTTATGAAGTTGCAAAGAAAATAATTTTATTGTTGGGGTCACCATAACATGAGGAACGGTATTAAAGGGCCGTGGCATTAGGAAGGTTGAGAATCACTAACTAAGGGTATAGATCTAGGCACATCTGAAAAAGCACCTCAGGTAATTTCAAGAATACCGAAAATTTGAGAAACATTTCCTTAAATGGTATAATGTATAGGTTCCACCAGAAGGTCAGATGTGTCCATATTATTGTTACAGAATTTACCAGGTGACCAGAAAATACACACACAGGAATACTCAGATATATAGGAAAACCCCATTTATTTCCAGATGTGCCAGTACCGTGACTCAGGGGAGCCTGTTTCCAAATCCTGAGCAACCCAATATGGAAGAAGCTTTTTCTGTATATCCTGTGGTTTCTTTGTCCCCAAATAAGGATCAGACTTCCAGACCTTTTGCAGGTTTTGGGATGGGGGCCATGAGACCACACCTAAAGGCCTGGCCTGGTGCCTGCACTGATAACCTCCTCTGGGAGTTGTTTATGGTTCATGGCTTATGGCCTCTGTAAAATGTGATTGTTTAGGTAAATGTCTTGCAAGACCAGATAATTTAGGAATGGGATAATTTAGGACTTGATTATAGGCTAACAAGAATGTGCATTAAAGCTACTTATGAAGTAGGTACTAACTCCCTCCCATGGCTCATTTTTATGTTCCCCATCATCCCCTCTCTGCACCTTGACCCTCAAACCGATTTTCAACCTTGGGGGTTCAATAGAAAACTCAAAACTAGGAAGTAGGGTGTTCAGGAGCTCATGTTTTTTTTGTTTTTTTTTTAAATCTTCATCACCCAAGGGATTGTATTGTAATGGCAGTCCAGAGATCTAGTCTAGAGTAACATCTGGGGCTTCAGGGCTTACTGACTCTCTGTATTAGCTGTTCTAAAACCTGTTGGCTTTCTTAGAGGAAGGGAGAGGGAGTCTATAAAGGTTTCTTCATTTGCTTCAGAGCATTGGGAGTGGTGAGAAGCATGTTTCAGAGTCCTATCTATTTCTTCTCTAGTTGTCACACCATCCTTGTTCTGCTCATGTCTAACTGCATAAACATCCCCTCAAGGATCATGGCTCTGAATCCTTTTAGGGAAAATGGGTGTTGGTGGGCTCCTCTGGCTACTTCCATGCTGAGGAGGGGCAAAGTTTTCTTTCAGAGCAAAGAGAGCCTTGTTCTTTGTCAGAGGAACCATGAGGCCTGGGCACGGAAGGAGGTAGGCTTGTGACCTGGTGGAGACAAATGGTATAAAATTCAGTGTTATTGAGCAACTGGAACAGCAAGAGTTACAACAAATGGTCTGGTGGAAGGGAAAGAAAACATTTCAGCTCTAATAACTCCTATTGAAATAGAATTTTTCTCCTTAAAACCACACTAATGTTTATTAAAGAGCCAAAATTAAGACCAATTTATCTATTGAATTCAACTTGGTCTGATTGTTTGCATAAACACAACAAGAATGGTAACTGACAGCCTTTGGCAGAGTTTCACGATTGAGTCTCAACGTGCCACTTAGGGCAGGGAAGCCAAAGCATCCAGCTGCAGTCAGGCCTGCCTGCTATGTCTGCTGGGTTAACTGAATTCCTCACCTGCAGCGGTTCCACCTGTGCCATGCCCTCGGCATCAAGGCCCATCTCAGCAACCCTCCTACTCCTTGTGGCCTAGAGTGTGTGGGGGTCCCGCAGGGACACAGAGGTGCCCTTATTGCTTCCCTTCCACTCTGTCCAAACACCAGTGATGTCAGGGTATGTGCCTGCTGCTTCAGCGCCATCTATTTTTAGGGCTACCAAGCAAGATAACAGGCTTTCTCCATGACACTCTTATTGGCTTCAAGTCTTCAGAGTCCAGACATGGCTCTTAAAAACATGACACTCCAGTCAAAGTTTTCGGTCAATAAAACCACCATTGCAAACCGGTCTTACTGAATTTATGCAAAGAAACGCATTGCCATGATTCATTCATTAAGAATTACCAGATTTCGGAGGGATCATATAGGGAAGAAAATACACTAACTTGCTTTAAGGTCTTATTATTTTTCTTGCCAGACTTTTCCATGAACTCTTCAGAAGATGTAATTTTTTTTCAAATGCATTGTAACAAATACAGTAACTGCCAAATACAGTAACTCATTGGCTTTTAATTAACAAGTGACAAGAATAAATTTAAAATGACACAGTTATGGATTTCATTATAATGCAGATGACATGGAATAATGTCCTTTCTGTAAAAGCCAACATCCTATAATATAACTAATAACCATTGGTTATCACTGTACTTGACAAAGGTTCCTATGTACTTCAGTATAAAACTTTTCTTCATGAGAGAGAAAACAACCATTTGAGGCATTTCAGAGCCTATTTGGGATAATCTAAAACCAATTCTAGATCAAGAGAAAGTTTCTTAAAATTCAAACCCTTGAAGGACTGTCAAGCTTGATTTTACCAAAATATTAAATATGAAAGTGTATTAGACAGGAACATAGGCTAGCAAACTTCAGTTCCTATCATTAAAAGATGATCTTTTTATTTATTAAATACCTGATTAATATAACATAATTATTTTACTAGAAAAAAACTAACCAAAATATGGCTTATTTTCTTACTTCATTTGTCCTTGGGTGTGGACAGCAAATGACACTAATTGGATTTCTCCCATCAGTCTCCCTGAGTACTTTGGCATAAGCTATTTTCCCTCTGTTTTGGAAAGCAAAATACAAATCATTGGCTTTTAAGTGTCCTTGATTTAGGGAAGACAGTGCTTTCTAGCTGGTTGCAAACTGCTATTTTAATATCTCAGTTTCCCCTTTCTTCTTATCCTGGCTTACTGGCATGTATCATTTAATCAATTTCCTTTTAAACTTTTCTTTTTATAAACTTATAACTTCCACAGACATCCTTACAACTTTCAGAAACATTCTTATAACATCCAGAAATAACCACCTTTTCAAACCACCTTCTTTTTTCTTCAAAATGCATAACCATGTCTCAGTCCTTCCACTAAGTATTTCTACTCTAACATTCTTTCTTTCCATCATACCTTTAGTAACTTGTACAGATCTTTCTTTCTTTCTTTCTTTCTTTCTTTCTTTCTTTCTTTCTTTCTTTTTTAAATATATTAGAATTCTTCACTCTTTGAAACCTGATTTTTTCAATGATTACCAAAAAGTAAGCAGCCAGCATTTCTTAGATTAACATTTATAAACACGTTTTAACTACACTCTTACTTTCAAGAAAATATACCTTCAACAAAGTACAAGAGACCTTCTGTAATAAAAGCTAAGAGCAGGTGAATTAAAAGTTGTCTAGCAATCAATGTTTCAGTATTTCATATTATTTAAAAATATTTAGATGTTTATTATTTAATCCAGCAATGCTCCAAAGTCCTTAAGTTATCTCAGACTTTGAAAAATTAGGAATAGGCATAGGAGGCTGGAGAAAAGGCGGGGGAGGAGGGAGCAAGCCCAGCAGTCTGTTCTGAGTCTAGCAGCTTGGATTTAAATTGCTACATTCTTCCTTGGAGATAACATGCTAAGGTTTCTTCTGTGGCTTCTGTTTCTGGCCCTCTAGGCCAGCCCTTTCCTAGGCCACATTTCGTAAAATTGTGAACATTATGTTAGTTTTCTGTTTGTTTTGTTTTTAAAAATATATTTTTATTGATTTCAGAGAGGAAGGGTGAAGGAGAGGTAGATAGAAACATCAAAGATGAGAGAGAATCATTGATTGGCTGCCTCTTGCACAACTCCTTCTAGGGATCAAGCCCACAACCCAGGCACATGACTTTGACCCTAATCAAACCTGGGACCCTTCAGTTTACAGGCTGACACTCTATCCACTGAGCCAAACCAGCTAGGGCTGTTATTTTGTTGTTTGTTTTGTATTTTGCCTTTCTTATGTGCATAGACATTTGAGCCTCTTCTAACATCTCTTCTGCACTTCTATCCTTCTATTTTTCTAACTTTGTAGTTTTCTTGAGATGTCAGGCCAACTATTTGGTGCAAAATGTAATTTATAATATTTCTTGGCCTAACAGGTCCTCAGGGTCAGGCCCAGAGTACTTTCTCATTTGATTTTTTAGTCTTGATAAATTCAGAAGGCCCTTTTCTTTGCCTTAGTGAATAGTGAAGGTTTTATTTAGGTCCTGAGTCCTACTGGGATGTCTGTGCACAGGCACCTCCCTCCTCCCATCCCATTTTCACTTTTCACTGCCCTTTCCTGAGCTGGAAGCACAGCCAGGCCTGGGCTGGGGCCCCTGGACAGAACGTTCATAACCCACAGTCAGCTCGTAGATGTGGCCTATTGACTTGGGGTCAAGTAGGGGGCCCTGTGTAGGGGGGAGAGAGGGCATCAGAGGACAGGGAGCGAGGCTTTTCTCCAAAGACCTGACAGCTCTGCCTCCTGAGCAGCTGTCTTCACACCTGTAGCCCAGCACCCCAATTTCTGCCCACACTCCACACCCTCACCCTTGTTAGCCTGGCACCTCTGCCTGGTGTTCCCAGAGCTCATTCTGCTTAGTGCTGGACTCCAGGGTTCCTTTTAGACTCCTGCCCTGTCCATCCCTGATGTGGGGTCCCGCTAGGCCAGGGCAGGGCTCCCCTTGTGCTGGCTGTTGTGGGGAAGAAGTCTGTACTGCATTGCGAGGTGGATAGTGCCCCTGCCCTGAGGGAGGGTCACTGAGGCCCTGGGTGAGGGAACAGGGAGGGGATGCACTTAGCAGGAAGGCAGAGGTTCCAGTGGGACCCTGTCCTGGGAGAAGGTACAGCAGGCGTTAGCACCCAGGGGGGAGGAAGCTTTGGCCTGTTCTTCCAGGAGAGGGTGGTTCTTTAGCTCCCAAAAGCCAGGAGTGAAAGGACATCTCCCAGGGCAAGACCCTCTTGCCATTTCAGGGTCCAGTGAGGGAGAGGTGGTTTCACATGACACAATCTACAGGTCAGGTTGACTGGCTTGTAAGGGTCCCTGTGCAGAGTCGTGATGAAAATCCCCTTGAAGCCCAGAGAAGGGTCAGAGCCTGAGGGACAAGGGCAGAGGTGGTCACTGTGGGGCAGGGCCAGGGGATCCAGGCTGAACAGACACTCACCAGTGGTGGCCGGTGGAGGTGGGTGCTCTTGGAGGCCATGCAGGTCATTGGCCCTGAGAAAGGTCAGACTTACTTGTGAGGGGTTCAGGGGAGGTTTGGTGTTATGACAGGGGCAGGGAGGGTCTCCTTTCCCAGCAGAGTGTGGTGGCCTCTCTCCCCTGTTTAAGGAGGATAGGCCCAGGAAAGGGGAACTCAGGCAAGGCCTTAAGGATCCAGGGCTGACCTGGGCCCACAGGGGAAGGACCCACATGCACATGGGGGTCTGGAAGGAATAACAGGGAAGGGATTGAGGAACCAGAACAGGAATCCACCATGATGGTCTGACTTAGTGGATAGGTCAAGGCCTCAGTGGGCAGCAGTGCCAGCCTCGTGTAGCATCAGGATGAGTGTGGTGCCCTGCTGTGGCCAGACCCTCCTTTCAGGCCTACAGAGCTACACTGTGATAGTGGCCTGTCATGTCTCCATCCACATGACCTAGAGGTGAAAACCACACCAAAGACCCTGCTGTAGTCCTGTCTTACATATCAGGGTCGTGGTTACCAGAATGGCCTCCTGGGGGTATTTGACCCAACCCTGTCTGTCCTGGCTCTTCCATCCTCAGCTGTGTGGCCTTGGCCAGAATGACTTTCAGACCCTGAGGCAGCCCATTCCCTCACCTGGGAGGGTGGACTTAATGAATAACAGGAGGTGCCTTACTGAGCACTTACTACCTGCTGGCACCACTGCAGGTGTGGGGAGAACCAGGACAGTCCTGAGGGCACAGTTCCTTAATCATGCCTCATTTATAGGTGAGGAAGCTGTTGAGGAAACCACCTGGTCAGCAGCTGGTGAGGGAGGAGCTGGATGGAGAGTTAAAGCCATTTATGGGGAAGCTGGGAGGCCACAGGGAGCTGGCCCAGAACCCTCTGAGGATGGGGTCTTTGTCCTCCTCTATTGGGGGTTGTCCTGAGTCAGGGAACAGGATTAGGGTGAGTGTGAGGCAATGCCATAGTACCTCCTAGTCCTCCTGAGGTACAGGAAATAGCCCAGAGAATTCCCCAGAGCCACCACAATGAGGACCCCGATCACGCCGCCAAAGATGGCCCCCACAGAGTAGCCCTTGTAGGTTTGTTCTGCTGAAAGGAGTAGGGAAATGAGGAGGGGTGAAGGCCCAAGTCCATTCAGGGGAAACCAGGAGGGGCCTTGCAGGGTGAAGCCTGTTGAGGAAGAGTGGAACTGCCACCTAGTCTGTGCGTTTTTGGAGTGTCAGTCCTCTTGACACCCCACTTCCGGCGGTTGCATCATTCTCTGTTTTGTGCATTTGAAACCTTCAATTGGCTCTACCTTTGCATGTACTCTCATACTCACCATTCCCATGTCCTGATAATTTTCCTCTTAACTTCTCTTTCCCTCGCATATTCAGTTTCTTCCAGCTATTCTTTTTTTCCATCACTGCGGACAGTCTTAGCAGGCACTTTAACTGTCAACTCAGTGCTGATGAGTAATACGAATGTGCTGAGTGTTTTTGATGGTCCAGGCAGGGTGGGAAATACTTTACCTTCATGTCATCTGATCTTTCCACCCATAGGAGGGATAGGGGGTGTTACCCCCATGAGCACAAACAGAATCAGGGATGGGAGGTGCTTAATCAATGGCTGGCGGTCACAGAGCTGGTGAGTGATAAATGATATTTTCACTGAGTTCTGCTTGACTTTTTAACTACTGACAACAGCATTAAAAAAACAAACAAACCACCGAAACCGGTTTGGCTCAATGGATAGAGCGTTGGCTTGGGGATTGAAAGGTCCTGGGTTCGATTCTGATCAGGGGCATGTACGTTGGTTGCAGGCACATCCCCAGTAGGGGGTGTGCAAGAGGCGGCTGGTCGATGTTTCTCTCTCATTGACGTTTCTGGCTCTCTATCCCTCTCTCCTCCTCTCTGTAAAAAATCAATAAAATATATATATATAAAATATATATCTTAAAAAAAAAAAAAAAAACCAACCAACAATAATTGGTAAATTGACTGAGTCCTGACCGAACATGACCCTGTCCAAGGGGTTTTTTCTCATTAACCTCACAAGAAATATCCTAACAATGGTGTTTAGGTCCAGCTGTTTTATTCCAGGTTAGAGATGAGGCAACTGAGGCTCAGGTAGGTGAGAGCCTTTCCCGTGGTCAGACAGCTAATATTCAAGGAACTGAGACAATGAGGAGATTAGTCTAATCCTGGGGTCCTTAGCCATGTGCTCTATAGGCTCTGAAGGAGGGTCCCACTTCCTCATCCATTTCACCCCCCACCCCATTCTGTGAAATATACAAAGAGCAAGTGGGAAAGGTTGAAGGTCACTCACATTGCACATTCAGCCTGAAAGGGTAACCTTTGTTAGAACTGGCAGGATTGAAGACCTCATACTGATAACTCCCAGCATGTTCCCTTCTGACAAGATGAATGGTGAGGATGCTTTTGTCAGGAAATGCTTCATCCTATCCTTCTGAGATAGAATCTGGTTCTTAAAGAACCACCGATGGAGATCCCAACCAATGTCATTTGTGAGACAGGTCAGGACCACAGAGTCCTTATGCTCTGTGACTGTGGCTTTGCTGGCTCAGAAGGCGGGCTTTCCCATTGGCTCTGTGGAGAACAGAGGAGGTGAGTGATTGAGAGTGGGCTCCTTCCTCAGAAATGTCAGCCACTCACAGGCCACAGTGATCTCTGTAAATGTTACCAGAGGACTCTGACCTTTGCAGGGAGAGGACCATTGTTCAGGTGACAGTTTGTAAGGAGAGGGCTATGCCTCCCCTCTTCCCTCCAGATCACCTCAGGGTGACCCCTGACCTGTCTTCCTAGACATCTGTAGGTGACAGAAGGAAAGTGATAGTGACACCAGGAACCTCTTCTCAGACCGAGTGTCTAGTCTCTTCACCATTAGGTGTAATTTTTCACCTTTTGACTTTTTAAATATATATATTTTATTTTATTTTATTTTATTTTATTTTATTTTATTTTATTTTATTTTATTTTATTTTATTTTATTTTTTACTGATTTGAGAGGGAAAGGAATTGGAGAGAGAGATAGTAACATCAATAATGAGGGAAAATCCTTGATCTGATGCTTCCCTCAAAACCCCTACTCAGGATCAAGCTCCAGAATGTGTCCTGACATGGAATCAAACCAACCCCCTGGTTCACAGGTCGCTGGACAGAGCTCAACTCCTGAGTCACATCAGCTGGAATCCACCAATTGACTTTTGTGTGAGTCTTTCCCAGACCTTTCTCTGACTTTTTAAACACTCACACTCCTCTCTACTATGGTAGCTACACACAGAGATGGAAAGGCATTTCCTTTTTGTTACATAATTTAGTAGAGAATGAAACTAGTCCAGATATGATTTTAGGACCTGGAGAAATTTGAACCTAAAGGATTTCTCAATCTGAATAGGACTTTCACTTCCTGACCTGTGGATGGAATATCATAGAGAAGGAAGTTCCTAGAGAGAAGTAGTCACAGTTTGAACATCCTCTGTAAACTACAAACTCCGTGGCACTGCTCCTTCTGTATCATGAAGGGTCTTCCTGAACAAATCTACCTACTTGTCAAGTAAGCACCACTGCTCACTGCTCTCCTCAGCAATGTGTTACCTGTACTCCTGTCACAAGTGTTGTACAGCTGGTGACTTCAGAGCCAGTACACAGCTTAGAGTAGGTCCCCCTGTGGCTCACTCTCTTCCCATTTCCATGCAGCATGGTCTGAGGGAGGCTGTGGTGTTGGTGGGTGACTCAAAATGGTCATATTGAGGACAGACCATCCATGCACTTTCACCACAGACCCCTGACCCACCACAGAGGGCACAGAAAAGCAAGTCACCAAGTGAGCCTCGAGTAGTGCAGTGAGCAGGGGCCTATTCTGCTCACCCCTCCTCAGAGGTGGTGTCCTCCTTTAGTTTGGGGAAAATAGTTGAGCTTGTTCAAAGCCTTGTATGTTCCCTGTAGCACATGGAGCAGGTAACAGACAAGATGTGACAGAAGGAAAGTGTTAGTGACAGAAGAAGCAACTTGACCTTGAGGACCTTTGTTTTCCCCTCTGGGAAGCTCTTTTCCCCCACCACTTGACTTTCTGGGGCTGAGAGAACCCCTCCTCACTTTCCAAGGCCAGACCCCAGTTCTGCCATGAGAGATCATAAGAGCAAGGGAGGAGAGTCTACAGAGATGTAGTCTGAGGGCTCAAGGGAAGACATTATAATTTGCTTGTGTCCATGGCCACAGGATAGGAGACAGCACCCTCTAGGCTCTGTTCTGAAAACCAGACAGACATGTACCCCACAGCCTGGTGCCAATGGTCCTGGAGGCACTTACCAGAGATTGTGAGAGTCTTGACCGTGGTCCTATAGGGATGAGTGACAGAGTTATGGGTGAAGCAGATGCAGGATCCACTGTCATCTGCAGTGATGTTGGGGGTAAAGAGCTCCTCTGTGGGTTCCTGGAGCCTACCATTGATAAGCCAAGAATACTATTTATGCAGGTTAGAGTCTAAGGTTTGCCCTAGGCAGCTCAGTGGACTCTGAGGAGGAAGTGGTGGTGGTGAAGGCAGGCAATATCTATCAGTATCTACTAGGAAGACAATATCACTGAGGAAATGTCCTTTGTTTCCCATTGACCCTCTAATCCACACCAACCCCACTGCCAGCCTGGTTTTGAAAGCCCCAACCATAACCCTCTGTGTTTACTGAGCCTGAGTGTGAAACATTAACCTGTTGTCCCATCCTCAAGGCCTCCCTGACTTTGCCTGGACAGGAACTCATGGCCACCCTGGGTGTTCAGAGTGTGGGCCTGTGTATGTGGACGTGAGAGGGACAGAAGTTACTCACAGAGAACATTCCAGGTGAATGGGTCACTGTGGATGGTACTCACTTGGTTGCGAGTTACACACTCAGAGGGTCTTGTTTGTTTTCTTGTGGCAGGGAGTAAAGGGAGAGTCCTGTTGCCCTTGGACAGCTGCAGCCTGGCACTGGTGTGGAGATGAACTATTTGTAAACCTCAGGTAGGTGGTATCCTGAGAGTCTGGTTCACCTT